TATAAGCTTGGTGAAGACCAATCATGAATAATGAAATCTGTTCTTCACCCATATGATTTGAGAACCACTAATATGATCAAGTGCACTATCTTGTTGTGGTTAGCATGCTTCATCTTTTGATCAATGTTTGCATGAGAGAACTACTTGGAATACCACTTGAATTGCCATGACTAGCTCTCTTTTGGGTGTTGCTTGCTTTTCTTGATCAACCCTTTTGATTGCTTCAACTAAGCATCTCAAATGTTTATCGGATCACCACTTTCATGTTAGCATTCCAAGTACCACACTTGGTTTACCTACACATAGGCGATAAGCCCTTACACTAGGGAGAAGTGACCTCTCTCCAAGAACCATTCTTGACACTCACTTGAAATAACTTGATTGATTAATCCAAGTGATGGACTTAACTTGATGAGTAACCTTGATTTCTTCTTTAAGTCATTTTCTTTCTACTTGTTTAAGTCATTTTCTTTTCTACCAAATGGTCTCCAATCATCACTTGAACTTAAACTTAATCTTCATCTTAAGTTTGATCTTGATCTTTCAATTTGAATACCAAATGTGTGCCAAGTATACTTCCACAATCAAATTTATTTGTACTCTTTGCTTGTCATGCTTCTAGATCATCTTAAAACCAAACTTAGGTGCCTCAATTACTTATAAACATGTTTCAACTTGAGGACCTTTCAATCAAAGTGACTCCAAATAAATCCAATAATTATCACTTTTCTGGCAGATTTTGTAATCATCAAAGAAAAATGCATATCTCCTAAAGTACAGATACAAATATTACGAAATTTGGTGGAGATGTGCTTCACTAAGTTATCTAGTATTTGTAAAAATTTGAGCTTCAGATGACTTTTAGATTGCTACCAGATTTCAATTCTTCCACCACTATTACATGCTGAAAACTGATGCACTATAGCTGACAAGATCCACTCCAAAACCGAAGCATCTCTTATCCAATTCTCATGAAATTTGTACATCATCTTATACCATAAGTCTAGAGCATGTACACCAATTTTTATGCCAATCCAATAAGTTTTGATCACTCATACATGGCTAAGATCACAGCTAGCTCAGATTCTTAATTATAGGACAGATTTCAACTATTGAGCTATACTTCATCAAATGTGAATCAAACTTGAAATTAACTTGTTTGAGTGCTTTCACAAGACATAAATCCATTAAATCCACTTACTAAATATCATCTTATGAACTTATCCAACACAAATCAATCCAAACTTGATTACTAAGCTATTTATCCATTCAAACATCTCATAGCAAGCAACATTGCATATTTATCCTATTCAATCAACTCATATGCACTCAAATGAAATGATCAACAAGAGATATACCTTGGTTAGCTCATGATCATCCAATTTGCAAGCTTTAACTCAAATAATTTTGCAAGCATCAAATAATCCAATAAATCACCGCAACTTGAATATGACACTTGTATGTTGATAGCACTTGGACTTCACTCAATTTGTCATGGGATTGGGATAATGATCATCACTTATCAATATTTGGCTCAACTATATAATCAATAAGATGAATACCATTTGAACCAAGCCTCCAATGCCAATGGTACCTATAAACAATCATCCACTTTTTTATGGTACCCAAACAGGTTTGGGTCCTCTCAAGTTAGGAGCAACATACTTAGGCAAAGCCTTAGTATGAGTAGCGGGATGTTTTAAAATAGCAACCAATGAGGTACCATTATCATCATTCCTAAGCATAGAATCATCATCAATTTAAATAGGTTTAGAAGTGTTACCTAGGGGACATGAATTTGCCATGTGTCCCCTTTCCCGGTATGAGTAGCACTTTCTCTTTGATTGAGCCTTCTCTTTCTTGCTCATGTTGTGCTTCTCATTGCCTTGCCTCTCATGAATTGTTTGAGCCTTCTTCTTAAGCTTGGTAGGACACTTAGAGGCAAAGTATCCCATATTCCCACACTTGAAGCACTTGATGTGAGCATAGATTTTCTTCTCATCTTGTGTCTTGCTCATCATCTTGGCATCTTGAGTTTGCATTGGATGCCTTGCCTTTCTACCCCTTCTTGTTTTCTTCTTCTTTGTCATCAAGTCACCACCATCTTCATGGTTGATCTTGATTTGAGTTTGGGGTGTCTTCTCTTGCTCAACTTGTGGCTTTGGTTGAGGCTCTTCTAGTTGCTTCACCAATTGCTTGGTTGGGCACATTGAGGTAAGATGACACCAAGTGCGGCACTTGAAGCACTTCACATGCTTGAGCCTCTCTTCTTCTTTTATCTTCTTGAGCTTCTCAATGTTAGGGCAACCATTTGCAAAGTGTCCCGCTTCATGACACCGGTAGCACATGGTATGAGAGAGCTTTCTTTGTTGTAGCTTCTTCATCTTTGTTTCTCTCTTTCTTTTGCCCTTTGTCATTTCCTTCTTGAAGTCAAGGCCACACTTGTCACCATAGTTTCTTTGAGTCTTCAACATGTGCTCAAAGGTGACTTTTGAGTTGTAGCACCTCTCTAACTTGTTGTTCAAATTCTTCACTTCATTTTTGAGCTCATTGTTCTCCTTCAAAAGGTTAGTCTAACAAGACATAGAAGTAGAACAAGCATCTATATGTGAAGAACATGGCATTTCTAATAAACCATCACAAGAGGTGGATACATGCTTCTTGCCTACATCACAAGGGTTAGCAACATTTTGCACTTTATCATTTGATCCATGTGATGAGCTCTTATCATTTTTAAGTTTCTTTGTAAACACTTTAATGGGAGAAGCATGTTGTTCTAATAATTCTTCATGAGATGCAAGTAGTGTCTCATGATTCAATTTTAGCTCACAATGTGAAGATTTAAGAGTATCAAATAATTTCTTACGTTCTTCACAAGAGTTCTTTAGAAATGAGTTTTCGTTTTCTAATTTCATTGTTTTAGCTTTCTCATTTTCTAAAGACATGGTCATGCTAGCAAGTCTATTAACAAGATCATCATATGAATGAACATGATCAACCACATTAGCATTTGATACCTTGGTGTCACCTTGTGACATGAAGCAATGTGGTGTTGTGGATGGGCTTGTAGTAGCATCACAATCATGGCCCGAGCATGAACCATCATCACCATCAAGTGTGCATGGGGTAGGATCTTCATGTGCAACACTTGTGGCATCATCATCAACCTTGTCAAGTGAACTTGTAGTGGATCGATCATCATCATCATCACTTGACCATGAGGTGGAGCAATCTTTCACAATCACCAAATTATGGTCATGCTCGACACACTTATGCACCTCCTTCTTGGGCTTGTCCTCCTTCTTGAATTTGCCATCATCCCATGTGGAGGAATCACCGAAGGTGTGCTTGATGCACTCCCATATCTCACGAGCGGTCCCGGTGATGTTTACTTGTTTCATCAAATCAAAACTCAAAGCATCCATTAGAAAACAACAAACATGTGCATCAAGTTCATAGAGAACTCTTTGAGCTTTGGTGAGATTTCTATGATCCAAGACATGGGTGAGACCACTAGTGACAATCCACCAAAACTTAGGTCCATTTGCACGCAAATGATCAAGCATGTGATTTTTCCAAAGTGCAAAGTTTGTGTCATCAAAAATGTGTCTCACAAACATCTAGCTCATCCTCTTGGGTCGGTGAAGACCACAAATGAGAGATCTAGCTCAGACACCTTTGTAGGGTCGAGATGGCGACTAGAGGGGGGTGAATAGTCGTTTCTAAATTTAATCGTGCCGGCTAACCGAAACAAATACGGAATTAAAACAATCGGTCTAGCCAAGACTACACCCCTCTATCGAAGTTCACAAACACCTTATAAAGATCCTAATTAGGCAACAAAGGTGCTGGGCTAGCTAGAGCTCACCTAACCAATTCTAGGAGGAAGGTCACACAAACCTATGCCACTAGTATTTTACACACTGGGGAGCTCCTACACAATTCTAGTAAGCAAAAGTACAAAGCTCCTAAGCTCACTAGCAATGCACAATAACAAGGCAACCAATGCCAAATTAGAGAGTGCAAATACTTAGCTACACAAACTAAGCAATGTGACTAACAAGGTTACACAAACCAAATTAGCCACGGAAGGGAGCTACTTCTATGCTACACAAGCAAGAAGGTAACTAGTGAGCTCCACAAGCTAACTAATTACAAGAGCAACTACACAAACACAATATATATGAAAATAATTACAAGCTTGTGTAAGGGGATTGCAAACCAACGGGAAGAACAATGTTGACACGGTGATTTTCTCCAGAGGTTCACGTGCTTGCCAACACGCTACGTCCCTGTTGTGTCGACCGCTCACTTGGTGGTTCGGCGGTTAATTGGCATCACCCGCCAAGCCCGCACATCAGGCACTGCAAGAACATACCCCAAAAGTGAGGGTACACTATAACACAACATACTTTTGCCGACACTTTCTATTGTAGGCAAAGGGCACCTTTGCCGACAGATAACCTCCAACGAAAAGTTTTACCGACACTTTAGAAACAGTCGCGCTATAAGCCGTGGGCGAAACTTTTGCCGACAGTTAACAGAATCGCCGACACTTTATGTGTAGGCAAACGGTCTGTCTATGCCGACAGTTGAATCATTTGCCGACAGTTAACCCTTTGCCGATAGTTAAGACCTATGCCGACAGTTAAGACCTTTGCCGACAGTTTATATGTTGGCCAAACTATTTCCAAGGTATTTTACAAACCATACCCTACCAAAACAAAACTGTCGGCAAAACTACATAAATATAATTACAATTAAAATAATTTGATAAATCCACTTTTGCTCATATAGAAGGCATCACATTGAACAAATTCACTTGATTTTTGTATAAATAATATATTAGATCTTCCATACATACACCAACTTGATATATATATAAATGTTCAGAGCTTTGTAAAAAAGAAAAAATATAAAGAGATCCAACACTGTACACACTTTGCTGAAAACTATCTTGTCGAAAAATGATGATGCTTCATGCTGCTTCAGCCCTTTCCTCATACTGGGAAGTTTGCTGTTGGCAAACCTCTAAGATGGGCTGTGCACTTAGGGACTACTGCTAGTATCTGAAAAATACAATTCAACGAGTTGTCAGATGTAAACAGAATGTTATGTGTAGCATTGATCTCCAAAACTAATTTCAAATAAACAGCATTGATTTTAGCAGAGTTCAGGCCCGATTACATTGTAACTTGGATCCCAAGCACATGAAGCTTTTACTGGAAACATATTAATCGGTATGATGCAGAGACCACGGTCTTGAGCATAATAATATTATTCAAAGGGGGCAAATGTTTTTGCTTACAGATTTGATCTTGCTCTCCTGGACCAATGCAATGGATATCTCAGCATGGTCCATGATGAAGTCAACAGCATTTGCTCCTGCATCATGTTACAACTTAATCGTCAATAAGACAATAGGATTTGATAACTACAGAATGAAGGACAAAATAAGCACACTATTGTGAGTTACTCATTAATTGTAATTTTTTCCAATATTTTTTCTAGTCTAAGATAAGATTGTTCATAAACACATGTTAACCATGTGCACAAATCTGAGTATTCAGTGCACTCAGACATTCAGGCATTTATGTGTTTCAGTCAGTGTGATGAAGTGGAGAACCTACCGAGGGTGTCATTCAGTGGCACATAACATATTCCTTGACTGTTGCATGCCTGAAGAAAAAAAGTTTGGATCAGATTACACTAAAGAAGAATTCTGATAAAAATTGAATAAAATACAATGAGGTCACCTGCATGGCCATAACCCATTCCGAGCAGTTGGATCCATATATGCCACAGTGAGCTCCTGCATATATGACTTGACGAATCAGTTCTCAAAATACTGGCATGCATTTTCACTTTTTCAGGATGAAGATGAAATCTCAACATAGACAGCGACATCAAACAAGACATTCTTCGCTCACCGGCTCTACGCCCAAGCTTCCGATGGCTGATCCAATCCTCATGACCTTCTGGTACACTTCCTCGTACGTTTGCCACACATACTCACCGGCCTATATATAAGAAAGACAATTCAGTTGAATATCCAAAAGCCATGGCGATATCTTTGTGAAAATAAATCTGTAAAGATTAGGTTTTATTTTACCTTGCCATCTGTAACTTGCCGTCGGCCGAGCATCCTGTTCGTGGGGTACTTCTTGACTACTCCACTACGAAATCACAAAACCAAAAACAAACTGAAATTTCGAACTGACATTATCTGAAAAGTCCAGGACCTAGTAATAATGCTATAATGTACCACCCAAAGATTGGCATCAAGCTAAACATACTAGTAGAATATGTACTCCGTAGTAGTGAAAGCTGAGAAAGGAAAACACATTGCGAAAACAGAGGGCACTATGCTAGCAGGTGGTAGCCTGCCAGGAAACGGAACCGAACCTAAAGAAGTCCTAGGGGGACTGGATGTCCTGCGGGAGCTCCATGAGTAATTTCTTAGTGTACTTAGACATTCCACTTGAAATGAAAACTAAGATGAAAATTGCTTTGATTGTGAAAAACAATTGCACAAGGTTCTAATGTTTTTTTTCTGTATTTCAGGAGGAAAGCAAAGAATAAAAGTATTTCAATAACATTTAACTAATGCTGGGCCCACTCAAAGGGAAAAAAAGACTAACAGTAAGAATGAAAACTATGAGAGCTATTGACATTAAGGCCTAAAACACTTGGGTACAGGGAAAAACAAGTGGGCATATGCAATGCTCGCCGCCGAAATTTATGCCCAGCCCGGCAGGCAGTCAGCTACCCAGGAAGGACAGGTCCCTCCCATCCATCTCAGGGTTGCTATAGCTCCCATGAATCATGATTGACTGGTAAATTGTTAGAGGAGGTGAACTTCTATATATCACACACATGTAAATCGATTCTGGACAAAGAAACAAGACAATTTAGCATTCGTGTTGGCAACTTTGAAGTCTTGCAACAGGGTAAGTATTATTATAACAGGTAAACAGAGTCATGAATCCTATGACAGAAAATACTAAAGTCATCAAAGGCCTATGCCATGCATGGATACCTATCCATAATCATCATAGGCTGATAGGGCATGTCTCAAATCACATGGAATGCCTAAATGAGAAAACTGCAGTATGCTTGAAGCTCAGCATGCAGAGAGTCTAAAACAATGCAGGCTGATTAACAAAAAAATCTTCACTGAAAATGCCAATGAGAACTGAGTAATAACTGAACATCACCCCCAGTTATAATGATATAATAAGAGAACAAGATGCTCGTCATTAAATTAATTGACTATTTCACATTTATCTCTGCCACCAGCAAAATAGTTGAACAGGTAGTTGCTGTGCAAAGACGAATGGTTGTGGTGAAATATACTGCTAACACACATTTGCATATCCAAATGATCAGCATGAAAGCATAGGTAAATTGAAATGGAACACAGCTATTCTCTATTCTAATTTTAAGCCAAAACTCTAGGTGAAACAATTTGATAAAACATTAATTATATGATGACTAGGGTTACAATTTAAGTTAATCATACGCCCACATCTGCTCACCATAACACTAGCATAACAAACTACTTTCCTATCAGTAGGGACTTCAATAAAATGCAAACATATGATTACTGGTGTTATCCTTGTAAAACCATTAAGCCCTACACCTGGCAATACAATTCTAGTCTGACCATGGTGTGGAGCACTTTCAGACTGACATAGAATACGAGTTTGACATTAGCTACAAGAAACGAAATCTGGCAAAAAGCAATAGTACATCCAATAATTGATCCAATTAAAGCTGAGAAGCATATAACGTCCAATAATTAGGTACAATTAACGCTGAAGCATTCAACTAACACCCGCTTCATGTAACTTTTTTGTGTGTGTGGGGAGGGTGGCATGAATTGAGAGAGGAAGAAAATTTAGCCCTCATGTAAGCAACTTTGCACTTTGGTCACCACAGTATTTGTCAAAGGAAAGATAAACAGAGTCCTGAATCCTGTGATGCACAAGTCATCAGAACCTTATTGCCATACATGGACATAACGATAAGAACACTAATGATAGTTAAATAACAGAAAACATCATCCCAGACCTAACGACACGATAAGAACACTAATGGTCCAACCTAGAAATAATTCAAGTTAATCTTTTGTGCCAATATAAGAAAGATCAACATATATCTGATGTGCAAACACAAATGATTCAACTGAAATATATTATTGGTAACATGCATATGAAAGTCCTATGGCACGACAAAAAATATGGTGATTGACGCACAACTGAAACTTTCCTAATTTTAAGATGAAAACAGCCATATTTCAAAAGATGTACTTTTAGTTACCACACCAATAGAAACAATTTAATAAAAACGCTAGTTATATAATGAACAGGGATACACTGTAATTGTAATTTGACAAAATTATATGCCTGCAACTATTCACCAGGATACAGCAGCATAAAAATGTGTATGTTCTATGAAATGCAAAAACAAGATAACCAGAGTTATCCTTGTCACAGCTTAAAAACCCCTGCGTGCTCATGAGATTCTATTTTTGGCCACAGAGGTAGCTTTCAAAATACAGACATGTACCACACTTACTTTGACATCAGCTACCACATAGTTTCTACCAGAAACATTACTGAAGTGACAGAATATCCAATAATTGGTGCTAATTAAAACTAAAGCCTGCATCCACCACTCACCGAATGAAACTGGGAAGACTCACTGAAGCACCACAGCATAGCTCAATCATGACTTTTGGCACCTATTCTTGAATTAGGCATTGAGCGAAAATATCTTGAATCCTGCTGGTTCCTCTGCAAAATCAACTAAGGCAGTAAACATCACTTCTAAATCGAGCCTTCTCCAAAGAGGGGAAGAGAGGGCGGATCTAGACTGAATGAAAGTTTGGCAAGAGAAGTAACCCAAACCTTGAATCTTTCTAGCCTTTCTCACCTTTGTCTACTCCTTTCTGCAACCAAGAAAAAAATACAAGAAATTAAGCTGTGGCGAAACCCTAGCACTCAAGGGAATGGGGATGAGAGGAAGGGGATCCGGAGATGACGCACCTGGATGTAGAGAGGAATGGGGATGCAACGGCGGCACCGCTCTTGCTGGCCGGCGGTAGGCTAGGGCGACGGCGGGCTTGGGGGCGGCAGGCTTGCGCGGTCATAGGCTGGGGCAACTGGGGGTTGGGGCTGCGGCGCCCGTTGGATTCGCTAGCGGGGGCTAGGGTTGTAGGCTGCGGGGCTTCGACCAGGGACAACTTCAGTGCGGGCGGGATTGGGAGGCGGTGATTTGGGCGGGCATCAGCGGTGGCAGCCACGCCGGGTGCTAGCCTCCGGCACCGGCTCCTGGCGGTGCCCGGCAGCGGAGCCTTGCTAGCGGCGCCCAGCGGCGAAGCAGTGGTGGCGGCACCCGGCGTCAGAGTTGTGCTCACTGGCAGCACCCGGCGGCTGCGCCCTGGCAAGAGCGAGGATTTTTTTTTTGAAGTCTGCGTGAGTGGAAAAGGAGTAAGGAACGAAGGGTGGGCAGCCTATTTTTGTCTTCGGGGCTTACCCCTTCGCCGACACTTGGACAGTGATTTAGGTAGGATACAACGACATTTTTTTTGTCTAAAAACTTTCGCCAACACTTTATGTGTTGGAAGGAGAAACGCCGACATATAAGTTGTAGCCTTATATTACTATTGCCGACAGTTTAAGTGATGCTAAAAATGTAAAGAATTGCCAACACATTATGTGTTGCCAAAACCCTAGATTTACCAACACATAATTGTAGGGAAAGGTGGGTTGTGTTGTAGTGGTAGCTCAATGACATGCTCAACTAGAGTATCTCTTCCCAGCTCCCGCGGGGCGAGCACAATTCCCCTCACAAAGCTCTTCTCCGGAGCACCGCACATGCTTCTTGCGGGCTTCGATGGAGACCACCACCATACCATCTAGGAGGTGGCAACCTCCAAGAGTAACAAGAACCACCGGCTTGCAAAATGACCACCTAGTGCCACTCGATGCAACCTCACGATGCAATCGCACTAGAATCGCTCTCTCACACAATCGGATGATCATTATCAAGCATATGTGAGATAGAGGGGTCCTAAGCACTCTCAAGCATGGACACAAAGTCTCCCAAGGTGCTCAGCATCAGCCATGGCCGAGACCCTCTTCTATTTATAGCCCTACGAGCTAAACTAGCCGTTACCCCTTCTCTGGGCATTTTTCGGGACCATCGGACGCACAGGTCGTGTGCACCGGACGCGTCCGGCCACTGCTTGACCGCCATGTGTCCCATTCAAACAAAATAGCCTTTGCCACCCAACTGTGATCGGACGCGTCCGTTGTGACGACCGAACATAGGACGGGCAGCGTCCGGTAGAGTCCAGAGAGCTCCCAGAGCTGCTCAACTCCGACTGGACGTGTCCAGTGTGGCCGACCGGACATGCCCCTATGTCGGGTCCTCTCTGGACCAACACCCATGCCCCACGTCACCCCAACTTGATGCTAAATAGTGATTGCTCAGAGTCCAGGCACAGCTATAAGCTAGAGTCTGGTCACCACGGCAACTCTGCCCGCGCCTGGCCAGAATACCGGACGCAGTTGGTATAGATATCAGACACGTCCGATCACGTCGGGAAGATACCAGACGCGTCCGGTCCTAATGTCGAACACATCCGGTCACCCCATGACCAGCGCATTCAACTCCTTTTCTTCACCAACTTCTTCTCCTTTGCGTACAACACCATGTGTATGTGTGTTAGCATTTTTATAATCATTTTTCAAAGGATTAGCCACTCAACTTGCCATGCCACTCGATCCTAGCGACGATGCAAAGTTAGATCACTCGAATGACACTAGATGACCGATATGCAAACAAGTTTACCCCTCTTGATAGTACGGCCATCTATCCTAAACCTGGTCATCAACTTCTCTACACACCTATGACCGGTGAAATGAAATGCCCTAGGTTATACCTTTGCCTTGCGCATTCCATTCTATCTCCTCCAATGTCGATGCAACACATGCACCAACATGATCAACAATGAGATGATCCACTTCATATCATCACGTGATCATATTGGTTCATCGATCTTGACTTCACTTGCTTTTCACCGTTGCCTTCGTCCATCGGCGCCAAGTCTTGATCAAGCTTCACTGCTACGCAGTC